GTTCCGCTGCAGCACAGCCTTCTTCCCTGACCTGCCTCTCACTTAGGTTCAGGCAGAGGATGTGAGCTCAGTGGTCACTCCGGCCCACTCCATTTCCTCCGCCCAGAGAAGACCTCAGAAAAAGGAGGGAAAGGCAAGGGGTACAGCAAGGGCAGGCCACCTGCTCTCTGAAGAGGACCTGGTGGGAAGGGGTACAGGTGGCAGTTGGCTGGAAGAGCTTGAGAAGCACCTTCTTCTGTTCTCTGGTTAGCCAGAGAGCTGTAGCCACCCATAGGAGGAAAAGACACCCCCAGCAGTTTCCCAAGATCCCTACCTCCCTTCAGAGAACTGCATTAGGATCCGCTGAAGAACTTTCTCATTTGCAGAGTCCTAGGCCCTTTCTGATGATTTTAATTTGGTGGCAGGGTGTCCAGGACATCCAGACTTTTAGAACAACCCCTAAGTAATTCTCCCCACCCCTGCTTCAGTACTGGGCATTGGACCCAGGACTTCCACAAATCTCCAGCTCGCTTTTTCTTTTGAGATAGGGTTTCATTAAGTTGCCCAGGTTGAGCTGGACTTTTCAATCCTCCTGCCTCAGCCTCTCAAGAGTGCCGGGTTCCTAGGTAATGTGGATGTGCACAGAACCGGGTAGAGATCAATGTAGGAGCACAGAGGAGGAGGCACAGGTTTGTCTCAGATACACCTCACTATGGCTATGACTTCGGGCAAGTTACTAACCTCTCAGTGCCACTTTATCTGTACCAGAGAAGTGAGATTACAACATTTCATCAACTGTCAAGTTTGCAAAGGTCACCTTATGATCTCATTTTGTCACTAGCCTGTCCAAGGTATGGTGTCAGAGCCTCTCAAGGTGCCCCAGGCCTGTCACTCTGTTCCTTTACACATGAATTCTCCTCTTCTACGGAGAGCCCTCTTTCCCCACAGGTGTTTCCCACAGGGTACAGGGGACCTGTTCAGAGCTTGAGGCCTGACTGCAAACTTCCCGCCACCAGCATCCAGGGCAGGGAGGCCTGCAGCAGGGTGACCAAGGCCTCACTAGGAAGGTGGCCAAGAACAACACAGAGGTAAGGAAGGAGAGGGAGTGGCTCCCAGTCCTGGTCCTCAGGGACCTCCTATCAGGCTCAGCCCATACCTACTTCCGGCAGTGGGGGGGCCAGGACACACTGTCCTACTACTGCCTGGCGCGCAAGCAGATGCATGCCAATGTGACCTTTCCTTCTGGCCTCCACACTGTCTCCAGGTAGCCTGGGGACTCCTTCCTGCGCTCACAGCTCAGGTGTGTCTTCGGACTAGAGCCCCAGCACTCAGAGAGGACTTTCCCCATCCAGGGAACCTTCCTGTCAGCCCCAGTTTGAACCAGTGGCTGTCCTTGCCAGTTTAGAATCTCAAGGTGACAAATCCAGTGGCACTTACTTTCTCTTCCCAACAGAGCCTGCCTTGATGCCTGGAGGCCTATTCTTGCTGAGGGGGGGAGGTACCCACCAGACAGTAGCCACAGTGAATGCCTTGAGTCCCGCAGCCCTGATGGCACTTAGAGCCCCAGGCTGTGAAAACCTCTAGAAAACCAGCTTTGGCCTTACACCTCAGGAGAAAAGGTAGATTTAATCAGAGAGAAGAAGCTTTAGTAAGTGGTCAGAGAGTGTTGAAATTAAACAAACCAAAGCAACATCTCTCTCATTAAAAGACATAGGCATCCTTGTTAAGTTTAGAAAAAAAAAGAAATCAAACCCATAAGAGATGTGCCGATAGAAATGTGTATATGGGATGGGCATGGACAAAGAGCTTCTGCACATTCAGTCTTTCCCAAACCATTGCCAGAATCCTTGTGGCACCAAAGAACACATCTATAAAGCCACTTGCGGTAAAGCAACTTCATGAGGGCTAGAAATTGGTCTGTTTTGTTCACTGTTCTGACGCCAAACTTAGAAACAGAGCCTAGGGCTGGAGAGATGGCTCAGTGGTCTAAAGCACCTACTTGGAACAAGCTTGGCAAAGCACAGGGACCGCGGTTCAATCCCCCAGCACCACATGCCAGCCAGCCCCACCCCCTGGTGGGCTGAGCTGGCCACACACACACACACACACACACACACACACACTGAATAAATAAATAAATAAAAATTTAAAAAAAGAAAAAAAAAAGAAACAGAGCCTAGTACACAATACACACTCAGTAAAAATTTGAATAAATCTACTTCAAACCTCCCAGTGTATAGTTAAAAAAAAAAAAATCCTGTGGTCCAGAGAGGTTAAGTTACTTGCCTGGGAACACACAGCAAGTGGGACCTAGCTTCCTTTCTGGCTCTCCCTCACACATGCACTTGTTATCCTGGGCAGGACCATCTTCCCTCCTCAAATCTGCAGATCACAGTGACCCCTTCCCAAGCTTCTAAACCTCCCTCAGTAGCCTCAGGACTAAGGGGAGGGCCTAGAGGAATGGTCACCCAGCAAATACTCACTCGTCTTTGTGGCCTTGACCTTGGCCACCAGTTTCTGTACACCAGTCACGTCTCCATTCTTGACGGCAAGAATCAGATCCTGTTCTCTACCCATCCTGGCTCCTGGGCCAAGCTCTAAGCTCTGGAGTCCAAGGCGGAGACAAGGACACTGGTTCAAGCAGAGTGTCAGCGTGTCATGTCTCAGCCCCTTGGAGGTCTCCCAGTCCTGTGGGAGTCCTGGGGGAACACGTCTGGGGTCCCAAGCAGTGGGCTCTTTGTCAGATGCTGATGGATACTCCCCCAAGGAGCTCCGTGAGCTGCCACCACAGGCAGAAACGTGTCTCTGAGGAGGTGGCAGCTGTGTGGAAATCTGGAAGGATATCAGCCTGCGGCTTCCGACAGCCCGGGGACAGGCCGGGACTGGGAACACCAATCTTCCGGACTGAGCTCAGACGCACCAATGCCTAGCCAGAGAGCAGCCAGCATTCCCTTGGGCCTTGGGCGGCAGCAATGGACAGGTCCTGGGGGTCACAGTGCCTCAGTGGAAGGCTGGGCCACAGCCTGCAAGGATATCATAAGGCAGGCAGAGGGTGAGCAGGGCAGGACCTGCAGGGAGCCAGCCCCCAGCTACCCTGGCTGCCCCATGGAGTCAGGAGGGGCTCAGCTCCGTGAAGCAGGGAGGGAGCTGCCAAGCCTGAGAGGAGTATCTGGAGGGAGGGGGAGGTTGAGTCACACGGGGGCCCCAGGGCACCGGCAGCACCTCAACTTTGGGCAGGAGGGGCCCTGGCAGCACAACACTCTGGGACAGGCCAGGCCAGCAGCCTGTTCTCCACAGCCCCGGGCTCCAACACCCACAGACAACCGGCGGGCTAGGAGGTGGGGCCTGGAAGGGTGGCACAGGCAGAGGAGCAGGGGTCACTCCAGTCCCAGGCGCCTGCCTGCAGACTCCTCCCCGCTCAGCCTTTACTTTAATAGCTGGATGCTTAGCCCTGCGGCCCTTTGTAAACTGGGGGCGGCGTGGGGAGTTTATGGGCCCAATTCTGGGGGAATCTGCCTGCTGGGCAAGGAGGCCCTACAGCACCTGTTGCTGACCCTACTCACCACTCTGTGGGCAGAGAACAGTGACTGCTGGTCAACAGCCCCCCAAACCTGATTTGGGACCCTGAACCTGAAGCCCAGACCCGAGCTCGACCTTACTACTGCCGGAACCAGTTTATGTCAGTTCTTCGGTGGCGGTGAATTTGTTGCCAGTCTTACGGCAGGACACCCGTGCAGGCCTGGGACCCTGGCGGGGAACCTCTCACTCCCCAAGGTCCCAAACCCAACCCAAAGGGCACTCCTCATCAATCCACTCGACCGGCACTGGGGGAGGGTGCCCCAGACACTGCTTGGGGTCGGTTGGCTCCCCCGCCCCTCGGAATGCCCCTCCAGCGCCGCGCACCCCCCAGCTGAGCCCAGTTCAGGCCGACCCGCGAACAAAGCGGCAGGAGGGACTGAGAGGGCCAAGCGCCAGAGGGATAGATGCGGGAGGACGAAAAAGGAGGCGCGAGGAGGACAGGAGAAGCGGAGAGATGGAGGCACCCACCGACCCCGCAAGAAAAGTTAGTTTGCGCCCGCCCCCAAGGGTGCTGACCCCGAGCTAGGGCCCCAAAGTCTTACCTTTCCCGGCTCCTCTGCCGAGGGTCCGGCTGGCCCCGCTCCGTCCCTGGCGCTTCGGACTCTGGCTCCCACTACCACCCCCCCACCTTTCTCCTGCTGCTTCTCGGAGGCCGACTCTGCGCCTCCCGCAGGAAATCCCGCCCCTCCCCCCTCCCTCCTGCCGGATCGGGAGAGAGGGACAGTCCCGGCCGCGCAGTCGGGCTGTCAATCTGCTCCCTCGGCCCCGCCCCCAACCGCGCCAGTCCCCGCCCCCCACCGCGCCAGTTGGGACCTAGGGACTATCCTCGTCAGAGCATGCGTACAGGTAAAAAAAAAACGAGCGGGGTGCGCGGTGGGTGGAGAGAGTTCGCGCCACTATGTCCTGATGGTGGGTCCTGGACAAACTGGGCTCTGGGGTTTAAATCAAACGATGGGAGAGATGTGATGTGAAAGGGTTTGGCGACAGAAACTTAGGGACCCTTTTCTTGGGAAGCCCCTTTTCCTTTTTGTCCCCGGCCCTCCCAGGACTCCCCCTCAGCGACCTCCGCCTCTGGCCGAAGTGGCCAACCCACAGTACTGATCGGATCAATGGTGCCACCTAGTGGACAGTGTAGGAGCGGCCGGTGGTGACTGCGGCAGGGACCCCAGCCTCGAGGAGGTGCTATTGGAGGCTTGGGGTGGCGCTTCAGCACCAGCGTGGGCCGGACAGCGCCTCCCACCTACGGAGCGGGCTTCAGAACCCTGTCTCTGGACCGCTGTAGTTTACAAAGCTGGAATTCGGGAACTACTGTTCTCCAATCTCCAAGTCCTCTTCTCTCCTCGGTCGGACGGCGACGTGAATTATGCTGCCCAGGGGTGCAGAGAGAAGTCACACATTTGACTGTTCATGCCACACTCCCAGACGCGTTTAAGCTTTTATTAGATAGGGGCCCTAAAGAGGGCTGTGGACAGGATTGAGGAGCTCCTGCACATCCAATAACCTTTAAGCGACACTCAGTTTCCAGAATAGAGGCACACGTGTGTAGGCCGGCACTAGGACCCAAGAGAGCCAGGAAGGCGGCAAGCCAGTGGAGGAGGAGCCGACGTCTTCCGCTGGCGCTAAGGCCGCGCGGAGTTCCGGAGGTGGGCGGGGCACAGGAGGCGCGCGCAGGCGCAGGCGCAGACTGCGGGCGGATGGAGCCGGAGCCGGAGCCGGTGTCGGTGTCTGCGGCCGTGGAGGTTCCTCCGGGGCGCGTGCTCAGGTGCGGCACGGCGTAGGAGGCGGGAAACGGGACCGGAATCGGGCAGGGCTACGTCGAGGCACGGTGCCGACTTCGCGTGCCCTTCTCCCCCAGCGCCTCGGAGCTCCTCGCTGCACGCTCGCGGTCCCAGAAGCTGCCCCAGCGGTCGCACGGCCCCAAGGACTTCCTCCCCGATGGCTCGGCGGCCCAGGCCGAGCGGCTGCGCCTGTGCCGGGAAGAGCTCTGGCAGCTGCTGGCGGAGGAGCGCGTGGAGCGCCTGTGAGGGGGCGGGGCGGCCGGGCCGGGCCGGGAGGGCGGCGCCGGCGGGCTGGGCTGTCTGAGCGAGCCGGACCCCTCCCCACTCCTCGCCAGGGGCAGCTTGGTGGCCGCCGAGTGGAGACCGGAAGAGGGTATCGTGGAGTTGAAGTCTCCTGCGGTGAGCAGCGGGGCTCAGGGATAGAGGACCCGCCTACTGTGCTCTCCGGGATACTTGTGACGCTGACTCTGGATCTCACAGGGTAAATTCTGGCACACCATGGGCTTCTCGGAGCACGGCCGACAGCTGCTTCACCCCGAAGAGGCCTTGTATCTGCTGGAGTGTGTGAGTGGAGCCCCCGGAGATTGGGAAGGGACCGAGGAACGGGAAAGACGCGTGTGGTGGCGAAAAAGAACACCCAGCTACGTTTCCAGTGAACTTACAATTGGGCTTCCAGAATAGGACCCAAGAACACCGGGCAAATATCATACTATTTTTGCATGAGAAACCCAAAGTGTAAATAACTTAAAGAGCAAAATAAATTTGACAATTTGTAGATGGGAAGGAGGATCTAGGGATAGAGGGGAAAGAGGAAGTAGAAAGGATTAAGAGGCCATAGGCCAGCTGCCCATGTTGAATGAATTAGTTACATATCACAAACGTAGTACTAAAAGCTGTCTTAAAAAAGTACTTCCCGGATGTGAGGGTGATCTGGCTGCGACATCTGTCACCCCACTGATCGCCAGGGTTGATTCGGCTAATCTGGCTGGCTAGGCGGGTGTCCCCTTCCTCTCTCAATGATCCATGTGCGTCCCTCCCTAAGCTGCGCGCTTGGTCGAAGAGGACGACCACCCCGGATAGAGGAGGACCGGTCCTCGGGTATACGAGTAGCTGCGCTCCCCTGCTAGAACCTCCAAAGAAGCTCTCTTAAAAAAGTACCTCCCAAGGATCAGAGATTTTAGAGCAAATCAGAGGGCCGGCCTTCTTTCATGTATTCTTACTGAGGGGAGGGAGATTGCCCTATTTAGCTGTGGTACTTCAGGAAGAATGCACAGTTGAGCCATTGACCATTCTTCCAGGGCTCTATTCAGCTGTTTTGCCAAGACTTGCCATTGTCTATCCAGGAAGCCTACCAGCTGCTGCTCACTGGGGACACTGTGACTTTCCTACAGTACCAGGTACCTCTCCTGACCCCTCATTTGCTGAGTCAGTGTATAGTGACAAGCACCCATGAGGTGCAGTAGTGCCACGTGCTGGAGCTGCAAGGGCCTTGCTCTCACCAAGCTTTCATGCTCATGGTAGCAGTTGAGTAATAGCAAATAAGTGGGCAAGGGATATAGCTCGGTGGCACAGTACCTGCCTGGCAAGTGCAAGGTCCTGAGTTCCATTTCTGATACCAAAAAAAGAAACAGTGGGCTTTTATAGAGAAGTAAGTGCTAAGCAGAAGAGAATTGATGGAGTCTCAGACATTGGTAGAGGCTTGGCTCAGCTTGGGGTTGGGGCAGGTGTCCATGAGTGACAATAAATGGATAGATCTTAGAAAAGACAAAACTTTGCAAATGGATTGGGTATCATGCTAAGGAGAAGAATCAGAGATTATACCCATGGGTACTTAGAGTATAACTCAGTGGTACATGGTCTGTTTTGCATGTGCAAGGCCCTGGGTCCAATCCCCAGCGCTGCAAAGAAAAGGAAGGGCATTTGGGCAAGAGCCGGTATTCCTTTTCTGGCTGGAAATACTGAAGGAAGGGCAAACTGGGGAGAGTGGAATCAGTTATAGACTTCTGTTTTGAAGTAGGTATGGTGGTGCACTCTTACAATCCTAGCACTCTGGTAGGCTAAGGCAGAGGTACAGATTTGAGTCTGTCTTAGCCAACTTAGCAATAAAGTGGGACCCAGTCTCAAAATAAGTAAATTTAAAAGAGGGCTAAGAGATTTAAAAAATAATAAAAGAGCAGACGTTTAAGCTTCACTTTTTTCTTCATTTGAGGTCTTCAGCCACCTGAAGAGGCTGGGCTATGTGGTTCGACGATTTCAACCAAGGTAAGTCCCTATTCCTTTTGCTCCCATTCACTCTAGGCCAGGGACCTGGCTGACCAGTTTCAAGTGGAAAGTATCCCTTGCTTAGCTGGAGCCCTTGCTGGAGTGCAGCTTCCTGGACATTGACCTCAGGCCTACCCTGGAAGTGCTCTTAGGCATCGGGGAAGAAGCTCATTACACACACTTCCTACTGCACTATCAAATCGAGACACATCTTTAGATGACTGAATACCTGCCGCTCATTGTGAGCACTGGCATAGTGCCTTGCACTTGGTATGTGAGAAGGCAGATTTGTGAAGTACCTGTATGCAGGGTCAAGTGAGGAATTTGTACTTCACTTGGATTTGACATGTCTTTTTTTTTTTTTTTTTAACTTATTTATTGTGTGCGTGTGTGTGTGTGTGTGTGTGTGTGTGTGTGTGTGTGTGGCCAGCTCAGCCCACCAGGGGTCGGGCTGGCTGGCATGTGGTGCTGGGGATTGAACCGCGGTCGCTGTCCTTTTGCTTAGCTTAGCTTGTTGTAAGTAGGTGCTTTAGACCACTGAGCCATCTCACCAGCCCGGATTTGACATGTCTTATACTGGGTTAGATGTTCTTTCCTCCTGACTTAGCAATCCATCCTTGCTGAGAGCCTCAGAGACCTTCAGACTTGGGGTGGAAACTGCTGTAGTTTTTACAGTTATATTTGTCTCCAAAGCTATAAAACAGACAAATCCTTTATTTTCTGAAAATGGACTCTTATTTTATTTTATTATTTATTTATTTTTTTGACGGATTTGGTACTGGGTCTCACTGCGCAGCTTGGACTCCGTGATCCTCCTGTTTTCAACCTACCTAGCGCTGGGATTATAGGCCTGCACCACCTCCCGGACTCAGTGGCCAGATTGGCGCACCCGGGGGTGGGGCCGACATGGCTTGTGTGCTGAGGATCCAAGCCCAGTCCCTGCTATCTCACCAGCCCCAGAATCTGTTTTAGGGAAATAATCATGCCTGCATACAGAGGTGCTCCTGTGAGACTTCCTTTAGTCAGTGATATTATTGAGTAGTTACTTGTGCCCTATACTTGTTGCTAAGGAATAGTGGAGACAAAGCCCTTTTTTTGTTTGTTGGTTTGTGTTTTTTGATATCAGGGATTGAACTCAGGATGTTTCACTTGCCAGGCAGGTGCTTATGCCACTGAGTTACATCCATGGCCCCAAAGTACTGTTTTAATGCTGCTTGCCTTCAGTGAGGTGCATATAAAAAATACCTTCACTTTTAAAATTATTGTACTTAGAAGTAGTCTGAGAGCTCAACAGTGGAGGTGTGCTCAAACAAATTAGGGTCTTTTAGAACCATGCTGTGCATAGAACTTTTTTTTCATATTTGGTATAGGGTCTCATTACACAGCTCAGACTCGTAGTGATCCTCCTATCTCAGCCTCCCCAGTGCTGGGGTTATAGGTGTGCACCTCCACACCTGGTTTCTGTGACCAGCATAGTCCTAAGGCTGATGCAGCATGTGGTACCAGGGATTGAACCCAGATACTTAACACTTGCCAGGCAGGTGCTTAGACTGCTGAGCTATCTTTTCCAGCCCCTCATTTTATTTTTCTGTATTTTTCAAAGTTTTTAGTCCCTCTTATTATTTCTTTTTTTTTTTTTTTAACAGACAACATTAATTTTATTTGCATTTATTTTATGCTTAATTTATTCCCATGCCATAAGTTTTTGTTTCTTCAGTTTCTTCTGGGATATCTTTTTCTTCTGTGCAACTTCCTCTTCTGGTTTGGGAACAATTTGTTCCTTTTCAGTAAGGATCATCTCAATAT